GCGAGATTATCTCCAAATTTTAAAATAAAGAATATACGAAATACAGGCTTTTTTCAAATATGCAAGGACGTTAACAAAACAGCCCAAGATGAACACTAACCAGTCTTTTTGATTGATTCACTGAAAAAAATGAATTTATAGAAATGTACGTTTGTTCTGCAATATATTGATCATCTAGTAATTCACATGACTTTTAACAATTCACATATCACACCAGTTGTTTAATCTCATCAGAAATGTGATTCTTATTATTTGAATCTGTCTTCTAGGCAAAGCCATTTGTCCTCCTCCATCCAACAGGAGTGTTTGCCAACAACCCGGAAATCCTGGAATGCAAGATTGAAAACAAAAATGAGATGGATGAAACAAGGAAGAATTACAGTAATCGTCACGAGTTGTTAGCATTTGTGTAAGTATTGAAGTGAAACCTGACATAGAACAACATCAAAGAGACTGAACTGTGTGCTCTGTTTAGTTTACGAGTAATGTGTTTAAAATGTTTTTTTGTTTTTTTTCAGAACTTTGTTAGAAACAAATAAGCCTTACTTAGTGAATACAATGAGAATTCCAGCTTTACAAACAATGATGCTTTTTTCACACAGTCTAGATACAAATCAAGACTGTACTCGGTAAGATGTGTTTGTCTGTCTGTGCATCTGTCTGTTTGTTGGTAAACCTGTGTGTGTGTGTTTACCTTTCTGTCTGTGTGTGTTTTAGAAAGTAGTGTTTCAACAATGTTGTTTCTACATAGTCTCATTACAAACCAAGACTGTCCTCTATAATAAATGTCTGTCTGTCTGTCTGTGCATCTGTCTGTGTCTGTCTGTCTGTCTGTCTGTCTGTCTGTCTGTCTGTCTGTCTGTCTGTCTGTCTGTGCATCTGTCTGTCTGTCTGTCTGTGCATCTGTCTGCTTTCACATATGATACAAACTAAGACTGTACTGTAACTTGATAAGAAATGTCTGTCTGTCATTGTGTCTGCCTGTCTGTGTGTGTTTACCTGACTAGTGTTCCTAATCAAACTTTCTGTAATTCAGGCTTATTACGCTGAATTCTTGTGATGTAAATAAGTGAAAATATACCATGGTATCAATATTATTTTGATTTGTATTCACAATAACAAACAACTATACAATTAAACAGTTGTCGCTTTGAATGATATCACTCCCACGCATCTACACCAATTTTACATCGCAGACAAGCTTTGTTGCTTGAGGGCACTTTTTATAGGGGTGGGTGTATTCCTCTCACAATAAATAATAATCATGTATCCTAAGATGAACTTTGACCCAGTTCAGCTGCTTTATTTCAGGATTATTGCCGATGGATGGATTGACTTTCGTTTCAAAGATGCCGATTCAACTCAATTTTTGCTTTCTAGCGTAATACAATTACGCACAACATGGTTGAAACTCCTGCAAGTTAAACTTGAAGGTTTGTTAATAAATAAAATGCTAAACTTGAATTATGTTGAATTATCTACACTATGATGTTTTTTGTTTGATTTCAATTTCATCTTTGTACTCGGATAAATATGTGTCTATGATGAGTGATGCTTATTTGGACATGCTATCAGTAGTTGTCTGAAAACATGCAGAAACTATTGATTTTGGTTCTGTATATCCATTAGTTAATGTCAGTAAATCAATCATTTTTCATCCATAATCAAGTTCAATTTCAAAATTCAAGGTGTAGATTACAGAGTTGTAGAGTTACAAAGGACAACACAACCAAACTGTTGTTGCTGTGAGCTATTACGTCGTTTCGACACAATGTTGCTCGTAAAATAATTTGAAAATGTACCTTTGACTACAAAGACAAACCATGAATGAGTTTTCTATGACTTATAATAGGTTCTGAAGCAGATAAGAAAAAAGATGCTCCTCGTACGCCGAATATAAAAGCAATGAGATTGGAAAGTGTGTTATCAAATAAACTTTCAGAATTGTTGGACAGCGATATTAAATATAGCGTACAGAAATTAAGGTCAACTGAAATATCTCATCTTTATATTGGACCAGATCATACTGCAGGTGAGTGTAGGCTCAGAATGTGCAGTGGAGGCTGCTTGCAATACAAGATATACTGTAATAGTTGTCCTTGCAATCTGATCACTGTATTTGCTGTATTAGAAAGGCATTCCAAATAGAGACCAAACCAAAAATGCTGGATTATTAAAATATTACTTTTATTTAGTTATCTTATGTTGAAGACAACAAAATTGAATTTATTTGTATCCTTGGTGAGTATTCCCTCCACAAACTCGATGAGAACAAAGCCACTCACTGGCTGAGGTTCATTCATCTCGTTCTCGTTCATGGGGAAGTCATTGTAACGTCCACTGGTGAATGTGTTCAGCTAGGTCCGGTTGATACCAGAATGGCACATTCAACTGACACAATGCCATATAGGAAACTGGTCAACTCTGTCATCCAAACATGGAATATAGTTTCTACGATGTAATACACTGCATGTATGTACACACAACTTGCCTACAAAAAGGACTGATGAGATAATAGTGACATTCAATGTCAGGAACTGTTCCTCTGAAAAAATGTAACGATATTGTTATTGTCTTCTGCATTCATGTAACAGTAACTTGTTTCTATATATATAGGCAATGAAGCAAGCCAGTTCAGCTCAGTTTGATCAGTTTAAAAAGAGTTCTGATTCTAAACCACACCCAACTAAAGGTGGCACAGTTTAATGAATACCTCACATATGGGTGGTAAGTCCAATTCAGTGCTACATTTTAACTTAGATACTTTCTAAGAGCTTTTCATTCCAACAATTTTTTTTTTCTGATATAATTTCAGGCATTAGTTTAAGTTTTCATTTTGGTGTATGTGCTTCTTCTCTATTTCAGTTTGGTCGATATGACGCCCCCGATGAGTATGAATCGGCGATAAGAAAACACTGGACATGTTCATTGTGCAAGAAAAGGTTGATTGTTAGCGTACTGGAGAAAATACAACATGAAAGTCAGTGTACAGGTATAAATGGTAATTGAGTTTGTTTATTTGTTTATTTTTATACCCATAGTGCAGCAGCTTCATTTTATTTATTCAATCATCATGTAAAAAATAACGGAACTAAGATAACAATCTTTTAATATCACATGATGTTAAGATGTGTTTTCATATTATTTCCTCATTTCTCACTCTGCACTAACTCTGTGGCTCTGGAGTTTACATTTGGTGAGGAAAAGGTAATGCTTAATCATTGGATCTATGCTGGAGGGCTCCCTCTGGTGGTTGGATGCAGGAATCTTTCTTTTTCTACAGTAGATCCAAGTCTTTGTAACAAGAAACTCTCGCTAAGTTTGTTTAAAGCAAGACTAAAAGAATTCAATTCTTGCATACATCCTTCAATTATTGAATCTTGTATATCAACCCTGGATGCAAAATAGTCACCAAGATCACATTCAGAATAAGTGAATCATACTCACTTTAAAGTGCCTGTGAAATGGCTGCTATTTTCACGCCTAAAATTATCCATTGATACATAAATATTATTAATTTTTATGTTTCTAAGCATGAATTATTTTTTTTAAGTGAAAAAATGTGTTTTAAACTCAGTCTACGGCAACTTTATTTTTGTGTATTTTAAAACGAGGCTTCTCATTAGCTTCTCATTTGCATACAGAAATTCCCCTTGTGACATCAGAAGGGGAAGTCGCATGGCAGCTTGCATTGCCAATAAGTGTAAATAAGGCAAATTTCTTGTGCAGTTTTCTCGTCTTTGACTAAATTGTCACTTATGTACTTGTTCGTCGAGGAAGAACGGACAATAATGAACACGTAGTACCCGGTATCAATTTTTGTTGCATGGGGTTGAGTTAGATGCAAAATATGTCTGTTCTGGTGTAGCTGGTCACCGTGATCGTCACCGACACCGGCGCACGTTTGTACACTGTCGCTGGACAAAATAGAATTTGACGTCGGAATTATGTCGTTATTTAGCAGGTTACTAGGCACGTCACTACACTGTTTTATTTCATCGATC